TCTATAGAGGGCGCCAGTCAAACATTAATCGGATCTGTCATCTTAATATTTCAACTGTTTAACAATTTTTAATGCCAGATATTTTTCCCGCCTAAAATTTAGTGCTAATATTTTCTCATATTTTATAAAATTTTCATTAAATTGCATCATCATTTTTGGACCATGGAGACAAGTTGATATTGCTTTTAGTTTTTAATCAAAAAGTTTGTCAATTTTTATTTTTTATTTCCCATGTGGATGGAAGCAGTACTTTTAATTTTGTAGATATGCTAAAAGTTAAAGGGCGGTAGTCCTCATGCCGCGTCCTGTTCGATATGGGACTCATAGCGACGTATACAACGTGTGTAAAATACATTGTTTATTTACATGAAAAACACGACGACCACCGTGATTTAACAATGACACTCAAATGGTCAAAGACAGAATTAGATTATCAGTTCATGTAATCATTAGTGACAGTGACTTGACTATTTCGATCAAGACCTATAGTCTGGACTTAAAAAATACAAATACAAAAACAGATACAATTTTGATGGGAATAAGGCCGACATTGAATGGTGTTAGGCAATTATTGATGGTATTAACATTGTGTTTAAAATTCCTGTCTGCATATCGATGACAATGTTTCTGCCCTGCTGTTCATATTGTGTGTGCATACAACTGATCAATGTTTTGTTTGTTTAACCTTTGAGTGGCAAAGAAAAACTTTTTCAAATCTATATAATTTTTTCATATTTTTTTCAAAATTTTGATCAATCGTGTATCCAATAGCAAATTATGTAAATTTGGTCCAAAGTGATTGAAAAAATTTTAGAAAAATACTTCAAAATAGGGAAAATGTTGCAGCAAAATATTGGCGGGAAAAATTATTGTGCTCAAAGGGTTATTAGCATATTGAGGCCCCTAACCATGCATGTAGTGTTGTCCTATAAATGATGTTTGTTCTTACTTTTCTAGCAATTCCATGTCGCATACGTCATCGTGAAATTTGCCAATTCACCTAGACCAGCGTTATGGGTATTGGAGCGATCTACCGACTACGGCCAAACATTCACACCTTGGCAGTATTTTGCAAGCACTGACAGTGATTGTAATACGTACTTTGGTATGCAGTCTTTAGAAGCTATTACCAGAGATGACCAGGTGATCTGTAGTACAGAGTATTCAAAGATTGTTCCATTAGAGAATGGGGAGGTAAGTTGGTATATATGAGGGTTATCTCACATTATTGAATTGATTATTGTTTGATTTCGTTTGTGTTACATTGTCCTTTACAGTATTTTAGAGATGAATTTGGAATGTTTTGCTGAGAGTGAATTTGAATACTGGAATTGTTTTAAGCATGAATATTTTGTTTTTTATTTCAGATTGTTGTCTCTCTTGTCAATAATCGTCCAAGTGCTAACAACTTCTCGTATGCTGCCGTTTTACAAGAATGGACCAAAGCAACGACTGTCAGGCTACGTCTTATACGAACAAACACTTTGTTGAGTCATCTTTTGGCGTTGGCAAGACAGGATCCAACAGTAACTAGAAGGGTGAGTACTGTATATACTGATGTTGTGAAAACTTTTTTATATCATTGACTCCATCATTACCTTTTCACCACCAGACTTTCTTGATCAAAGTTATTCTGCACTTTTGTTTTTATATTTTTCAATATTTCTCGAAATGAACCTTAATTTTGGAGCCAACAGACAAAATTTGAGTAAAATTTAATTCTTACTAAAAAAATTGGCTTTTTTTGTCCTGATCTTCTCAAGAAAAGTGCAGACTATAATCGGGACTATTTTGTGAATTTGTGATAAGAAGGTTTAAGGCTAGTGAGTTACTTGATCCCACCACTAGAGGGCGTAAGCATGCTTGCATTTTGCACAATGCAGTGATCCTAAAAGTGCTTCACTGACATATATTCACACCTTTTCTAAGTGATCATTTGTTGAAAACCAATGGCGTTGAAACTTTGAACAAAATTACAAATCGAGGCTGTCTCACAATAATTACCACAACATCATAAATAATTTTAGATCAAACATTTAATGAGTTCACCTTTCATAAGAGCTATAATAAAAATGTAATTAGACATAAACCACTTTGATTAAAGGCTGTCGTAGTGTCAGCACACTGATGTCAATGACTCGATGTCCCGATAAGATTCGAAGCATGTGATGCAAAATCACTACCACACATTTAATCGTTAAAATATGTTTTCATGTATTTCTGGTTCATTACTGTCTCAGTACATGCAAAAAGCAGTTGCATCAAAGCTGTTTAAAACTGTCAAGCTATGTTCATTACATCAGCACAATGTGCTACTAATGGAGCAAATAGGATATATGACTGAGGCAGTTTATTTCCGAAGAATGTTACAAAACACAAACATCAATGTTATATTTATCAATACATCAATCAATACATCGTTGTTTTTGTTAATGTTGATGTTTTCTTGTTTCCTGTTTCACTTGCAAGCATTTACCATTTCAGAGGTGAATAAATATTATTGTTACAGTAACCTATCACTAAGTCGTACCTCAGTAAGTCGTGATATCGGCTAAGTCGCTGGTAATTGAAAGGCTCGCAAAAAATTCTTTTTAGTGGTAGTTTTGAAAGAAAATAGGCAATGATTCATTGCTTCATGCATTTAATTAGCCGTTAAAAAGTCAGTGTGAGACTATTGGTGCCAGTGTTTTTCCAACCGAGTTGATGTCATCGTCATTTAACACCTATTGCCCCAGCAATTACTAGGATACAAAAAGTGCCGGCAGCTCGGCTCACATTGTCAACCCAAGACTTTACATTTTGTATGTGTACATTTCTTGGCTGGCACTGCTTCATAAATCTCTAAAAACTGACTGCATTGTGAACAATCCATCATTTTGATTGCTAGTTTCTAACTGAGCACCATGTGTCAGTAAAAGTTACCGAGCCTGCCTGCCTGTCCCTGTTAAGTCGCGACCCTCCATAAATCACATTTTTATTATCGGATCCCACCCCCTGTGACTTAGCAAGGAGTCACTGTATCATTATTGCTTCAATTTTGTCAGATTTTGCATTTCGGGAAAAACCAGAATCTTGTAGCAGTGAATGTTATTTGGATCATAGTGACTTACATGAATTTCTCACATACTGTAAAACATGTCTTTTTCGCGAATTTAGCGAGAGAACTGATTCCCTAATTCAAGATGTCGCTAATGACTTTATTATCAATTCAAAATGGCCACCAAACAAAGAAATCAACAATGACAAGAGAGATTTGCTAAATCAACATTTCACTATTACGTCATTTTACCACAATTTGCTAAAATTGCATGCCGCTTTTTCAACATTTTTTACATTACTCTAAAATATTATTAATACTATATTTATAAATTTTATATTTTCAGTATTATTACAGTATAAAGGACGTGTCTATTGGTGGTCGATGCGTTTGTAACGGGCATGCCGATAAGTGTGATACACCAGTACCGGGCGGTAATCGGTTTCAACTCCAGTGTACATGTCGACACAATACATGCGGTGAACAATGTGAAATTTGCTGCCCTGGGTTTGAACAAAAAAAATGGAGGCCAGCCACTGTTGACAGCGCAAATGAGTGTGAACGTATGTATTAAACTAATAATTATAACATGTTGAATGTGATCTTGATATCATCTTCATTCGTTTGTCTTTTCTTCCTGCAGCCTTCGCACTCCCATAGGAGATTTTCTGTTCAATGTGAGACCTTGCGTAATGTGTGAAAGACAGCAATCAAATATCTGCCGCAAAAATCGAATGATTTTGAACTTGAATTCTTTATTTTTATGGTTCAATGTCAAGATGCCGAGTTTCCAGGCAGGAGGGCAAAATTGACCATCATCAAATGCGTATAGTACATTTGTAAGCGTAAAAATACTAATGCTATGACCTTTGTTTGTCCTATTTTACATATGATTTCACACATAACACAGGATCTGACAGTGAATAGAAAATAGTCTATTAGAATTTGATTGGGAAAGTTGGATATCTCTACATCAGTTTTCAAGGCATTGCCCTCAAATGACGTCAAGTATAATGTAATGTAATTATTCATCAAATTATTTGATTGAACAAAACAATAAGTAAACAAAAGCTATAAGACTTACCGGTATATGTATTTATTATTCAATGACATAAATAATAAGGTAAAGTTTTTTAGCAATAAACTTATTTGGGTTTACAATAAATCACCAAAAAGCCACAGCGATATTGTCAGTTTGAAAGAAATTAATGTTGTTATTCGAAGTTGTTCCTTATGCACTAGATACATTCTATGAATAGTGCAAAACCATGTATTTTCGCTGGTGTTTAATTTCACTGTATATGTAATGTTTTGAGCAATTTTACCAAGTTCATGAACTAGACAGAGAAACAATGAATTCCTTTGTTATTGTACATCTTTAGGTTTATTTTAATTTAGCAAATTTTACATTTTTGCGAAATTAAAAACCAGCAAATAATTAATGCCTTTTCCAGTACATTATGTCAGTTCTGTTTTTTGTAAGATCTCATCTTCCTGACAATTTTTTGCAATTTTTATA